CACTTTCCAAATTCTTAAAGCAATTAAGCATGTCTTGTAAATACTGTATGCTGTACTAATAAAGGTTGGATTGTGACTGCCAGCTCTAGAGCGTTCCCCGCACACGCACTTGCTAGCACTGCATGACTGCTCTTGGGCCTTCTGAATAATTTACAAATGATACAATGTACAAGTGGTTCATGCAGATTTTGAAATGCTCCAGTTCTGTAATTAAAATGAAAGTATAATAAATATAGTACTATTTAGTGAGCTTATTAAGAGTTTATCCTGATTTTGCTATTCTGATCAACACAGCATACACTATTCATTCAGTGTTAATTAACTTTGAGCACCATAGAGAAGGGACTACATCAAAATAAATGGTAGCTGATGATGAGAAACACATTAAATAAAATCTGTTTTAGGTTATCACTTTTTGCAGCGTTAAGATTAATAGGAAAGTGCTGTTTTGATTGCTGTTTTGTAATAAAAAGCAGAGTTGGGTTATAATTGTTCTGTGATTGGACACAACCAGAGTCTTTAAAGTAGATGTAAGCCCAATCACTAAAATTGGATATACATTCTATAATATGTTAATGTATTTTCAAAAGTAATTTACAATCTTTTTAATTCTGCAGTGTTCATTAAAGTCATACCTGGTGATCCTGCCATAAATGTATGTCATGTAACTTCCTGTTTTGGGGTGAGTATGTTTTGTTCTGCTTTCCTGATTGCTCTCCTGTGTTGTCACCCTGTTACATTCACTTCCAATGCAGGGTATAAATGGCCATACTGATACACATTGTACAGTCATGTTCCAATATTATTGCAATCAGGAAGCTCGTTTTGGGCAATCACGTGTATCTGCCCTATGCAGACATGAAGGAAGGATGTACTGAAAGTGTTTAAGATACACTGTGGTGCTCAAAACAAAACAACAAAGTGAACCAAAAATGTATATGTGAACACACACAAAAAATGCAGTTGGGTGTGTCATGGTCCCCTTTCGCAGAGAAAGAACCCCTCCATGGACCCCTGGGGTGCAAGACTCCTAAATGGAGGGCAAAGCACACTCATGTCCACCTTCTGTTCGTGGTTAGCTGAAGCCAACCAACAACTACTGGGTGAGGGGCTCTCTCAAAGAGAGAGCCCCTATAGCAGGGGAGGAAGGAGCCTAATGGCCACCCAAACTTCCCCTAGACTTCAGGGTAGGCCTGAAGACCCACACCCTTCCTCTATAAGTAAAGTGCACACTTGAAATAAAAATGGTGCCAGTGTAAATACAAAGGCCTAGCCCATGAGGTGAGATGCAGAAAAAAGCAAGAGGTGTTGTGGCCTAGTGCTGTTTCACACAGTAGGGATCCAAACCCATAGTGGTACTCCGCCACCTTTGGGTTGTCATTCCCAGGGGGCTCTTGACACCGTAGGCTCTTGCCATCTTCTGTGTTTATGATACACAGTACTTTAGCAAATTAAATATCCAGTGAGGTTTACATCTACTTTAACAAAGTAGTGAAAATTAAACATTTTTTAACTACTTGAAATGAAAGTAATATCCTGCAGGAATCAAACGTTCTTGATATCTGATCTGTGAAAAGGAACCCCTATCTGTTTACTGTTCATTGGCATGATGGTGGGCAGGCAGTGTTAGCCTAACATGCAGGGATGGTCTTGGGTGGATATCACTTATAGGAGGTCGAATTTGGCTCTCCCATCCTCCCATGTGGCAAAGATGGGCGATGTGCCTAGTAATGCTGAGCCTACACTGTTAAAGAGCTCCATGTCACGGAAGTGACTGATCATTACTGAGCTTTCAGCCCAAGCCACTGTGCCTGTAACACAGATAGGCAGAGTGGCCAGGTGGGAAGTTCAATAATGCTGAGACTATGATTTTTATTGAGCTGCACTAAAGAGTGGATGTGTGGTATGGACATTCTGGCTTCAGTGCTGCCTTGCATCATGTCTCCATGAGTTTTAAACATTTTTACTAGTTTTTAAATGACTTTTTTAATTAGTTAATATGACTATTAAATAACGTGTGGTTCATAGCTTAGAAACAGCTTATACCAGAAACAGTAGAAAAGGTCAATCAGGTCAATTAGCACATATTAAATTTAATTTTATTTTTTATATAGCTAATGTGAGAATTATCCTTCAAGAACTATATTTTGAAGCTCTAATTGTTATTTTTGGGTAGTCACTAGATCCACTTGTGTGAGCAACCTACTTCTTTGTCCATCCTGTTATCCTTAAATATCCTGAAAGTATTTTCACCCTTGCATCCAAACTGGGATAACACCTGCTTTATATTTGTTAAATGTTCGTATTCAAATTAGTTAAAAAGTGTTACCATTTTATTTGCTAAAACATCCTATAAAAATCTTATTTAGCCTTCCCCACTATATAATGTTAAGGAAGTTATGTTTACCATAATTAACCCTGCCTGTCCTGTTCTGGCAGATCCTTTTATCAGTTCTAAAAACTGTCTGTCCTAACAAAGAGTTTAAGATATCAAGGAGTAAGTAATACATTGCATGTTAATGGACTTTTTTTTTTTATTTTTTAAATGTCCCTTTAACCACTTCCCTTCCAGCCCATGTATATAAATGGCCAGATGGGAGCAGTGCAGGAGTGAGTTGCCGTTCATAAACAGCGCCCACCATTTTAGCCTGTGCGCGCTCCCTGGGAGCACGCGGCACTGCGATCCGGTAGCCCATGTATATAAACGGCCAGATGGGAGCAGTGCAGGAGTGAGTGGCCGTTCATAAATAGCGCCCACCATTTTAGCCTGTGCACGCTCCCTGGGAGCACGTGGCACTGCGATCCGGTGCCCGCTGTGTCTGGAGGACCCAGCGGAACACCAATCACTGTACGGGACCCCTGTGTGAGGTCCTGATCATGTGATCAGTGATTGGCCAATCAGTGATCACATGAATAATAGTAAGCAAGATGTCACTTCTGACATCGTTGCTTACTACGTGTGAAATCTGTGAATGATCACAGAGATCACATGATACAAGGCTATTCACAACAGCCTTGTACCATGTGACAAGCTGTTGCAAATCACAGCTCTCACAGTATTTCTCAATGGCTGCAAGAATGCAGCCAGAGAGAAAGAGAAATGATTGCTTTTGCAGCCTTTTTTATTATTAAAAAAAAAAATCTTTATCACCCCCATAAGTAGTACAGTAGGGTGACAGTATGTTAACCACTTGAGTTCCTGAGGATTTACCCTCCTTAATGACCAGGCCTCTTTTTGCTACTTGGCGCTGCACTAATTCAACTGATAATTGCGCGGTCATGCAATGCTGCACCCAAACTAAATTTACGTCCTTTTTTTCACACAAATAGAGCTTTCTTTCGGTGTAATTTGATCACCTGTGCGCTTTTTATTTTTCACGCTATAAACAAAAAAATGCCAAACATTTTGAAGAAAAACAATATTTTTTACTTTCAGCTATAAAAAATATATAGTAAACTCAAAGTTGGTTATAAATTTAGGCCAAAATGTATTCTGCTACATGTTTTTGGTAAAAAAAAAATCCCAATAAGTGTATATTGATTGCTTTGTGTGGAAGTTATAGCGTCTACAAAACTATGGTATACAGTAAATACTGCAATTTATGCCATTTTTCTTCTATACAGCGCTGCGCTAGTTTAACGGACAATTGCGCGGTCATGCAATACGGTACATAAATGAAATTTACATCCTTTTTTTCCCCACAAATTGAGCTTTCTTTCGGTGGTATTTGATCGCCTGTGCAGTTTTTATTTTTTGCGCTATAAAAAAAAAAGCTGACAATTTTGAGGAAAAAAAAACTATATTTTGGACTTTTTGCTATAAAACATGTTCAGTAAAAAAAAAATGCAAAAATCAAATTTAGTCATAAATTTCTGCCAAAATGCATTCTGCGATATGTCTTTGCTAAAAAAAATCCCAATACGTGTAAATTAATTGGTTTACGTGAAAGTTATAGTGTTTACAAATGGCGGGAAAGATACTGGAATTTTTTATTTTTATTTATACTAATGATGGCGCCGATCAGCGAATTATGGCGGCAATCAGCGACATATGGCGGCGACCAGCGACTTATGCAGGACTGCGGGACTGCCGCGGACATTTTGACACTGGGGGGGGAACTGACTTGGGGTCACTGACATCCCCAGTGACACCAATACAGTGATCAGTGAAAAAAAAACCACTGAAACTGTACTAATGTCACTGGGGAGGAAGGGGTTAACATTTTTAGAATTTGCTGTGTAAGGGGAGTGTTTTACTAGGGGGCGGGGGTGTGTACTGGACGGGGGGGGGAGGGAGGGGGGAGCTGATCGAGGGAGAGAAACTCTGCAGCTTCTATCAAGCTGTCAGAGAACTGACACAGAACAGGGCTGTGTGTAAACAATGCAGCCCTGCTCTGTGTCAGCGATCACCGTCAATCGCGGGAAAACGGCCGTGACCCGGCGGCTGACACCCGCGGGACAGGTAGGGCGGGCGCGCGCACCCCCTACCTGTTTTGAAGGCAGCCGTTTTAAAACGTGCTTTTGCCTACGAGTGCCGCCCTGCCGCCATTTATATGCGGTGGCTGGGCGGCAAGTGGTTAAAAAAAAAAAAAAACCACATAAATAATAATATAAAAAAATTTAATAAAAATGTAAAAAAAAATTTTGAAAAATTATAATTATTGGTTATAAACTAATTTGGGTTATTTTTTTTACTAAAAAGATAGCTGGATAAATTGTGGCCAAGATTTATGAAGAAAGATTATTTATTTGCAAAATTTTATAAGAAAAACACTATTTTTCAAAAAGTTTTGACTTTTTTATTTATATAGCAAAAAAAAATAAAAATCCCAGAGGTGAATAAATATCACTAAAATAAAGTTTTATCTGTCTCAAAAAAAAATGCTAAAAAAATTTATATGGATACAGTGTTGCATGACCGTGCAATTGTCATTCAAATTGTGACAGCGCTGAAAGATGAAAATTGGCCTGGACAGGAAGGGGGTGAAAGTGTCCGGACATGAAGTGATTAAGCAAGTTATTTTGAATAATACAAGCTGCCTGTAGAGTCTGGGGTAGTTAAAAGAAAGACCTGAAAAGGTAAGAAATATTTTAGGCATGCTGTGTGAATGGGAACACATAAGAAGTATAAAGTGTTGGCAGGGGCGGACTGACCATTTGAAAACTCGGGCACTGCCCGAGGGCCCGGGGTCAGTAGGGGGCCCCATGAGATGTCCCTGGTACCTTTTTCATAGGCTTTTTTGAGTTTGGGCAAGGACACAGGGGCCCCATGATCCCCTATTGCCCGGGGGCCCCATGAGTTGTCAGTCCACCCCTGGGTGTTGGTTTCTGAAATTTGGCTGCAAAGGTGGGAAAACACTTTAAACATCTCCATCCAAACCTATTTGTTTCAGGGAATGGAACTGATTCCAGGATTTTATTGCTGTCCCTCACTCTCTGTCAGCAAATGATGTAATGGGAAATCTCTCCAAGGGGGTTGTAGATAAAAACAAGAACATTTTTAGTGAAGCATTTGAACGTCTGACAATCTTTTTTATTGCTGATGGTGTCTTCCTGTCCCAGTGGAGACTAAACCCCTCTCTTTGTATGAGTGCCACGGCTACACTCATTTTTGGAAAATCTCTCGAATGAGGTCACAGACAGAACAAAACACAGACAAAAACTTTAACTCCTCTCCACTCTGTTCAAAGAATCATGTTGGCTGCAGCTAGTCTTTATTATTTCTGTTAGAGTGTATCTCCGAACAACACTTAGTCCCGGTTCACATATATGCGGCCGTGCGGGCCGTGTTATGCGGGGGCACGAGAGCCCATTCATTTGAATGGATTCTCGTGCCCAGTGACACGCAGAGAAGAAGTCCTTGCACTTCTTCCGAAAACGCAGCACGCACGGGAACCTCAGTTCCCAGTACGGTTGCGTTTTCCAGTGCAGACGGCATGCCATTAGAACTAATGGCACGCCCGCGGGTCCGCAGTCCTCTGTGCGAGTGGTGCGGCTGCATGGATTTTAGTGAAGATCCACAGCAGCACCACCCGCACATATGTGAACCTAGCCTTACCAACTTTACTGGAAAAAAACTTAACAACTTGAGATTTCATGTTTTCCATACCGGTGGAAAATAAATCCTGCTTTCTTTATTTTCCCTGCACATGATTGGGTATTTAAAGTGTATCTAAACCAAAAATCAAAAATTTAATATATTGCAGCTTACCAGGCCTTTCATGCAGTGGCAGCATTTGGTACCTATTTACAGGCTTGGTTTTTTTTATTTTTACCTGGTGATTCTGAAACAATTGTCTTAGGGTAATATACAACTACGGTATCCCAAACAAACTAAAAAATTTTTTTTAAATAATAAAAAAAATATATATATATAAAAAAAAAAATGTATATATATATATATATATATAAACCCTCTAGCATACAGGTCTACCTTTCACCCTTGAAAGTGTCACTTATTGGGGTATTATTGTATTAATTGTCTTAGGGTAACAACACTCACTCACTGCACTTTATCTATGGGGGGAGCAGCACTGCCCCCCTAGGTGGCTTTTCTGATTTGGGTTACAAAGACCTCCTCTTCTCCTCATCTCCATTATATAAAGGTTCATTGCTTTTTAGCTCAAAGAAAATATTGAAGACAACAAATAGCATTGTTTAAGATATCATCAGTTCAGTCCACATGAAGTTACAAGGATCCAATGGAGTTGATTTACTAAAAGTGTAAAGCATGTTCACTTTGCATTTGTGAATTTTCACTCAGCTTAGTGAATGTGATAACATTTCACTTTGCAAAGAACACCAAATCATGTGCAATTAAATTAAAATGAAAACTTCCTTGTACATAATTGGGTGATGTCAGCAGAGCTTCACCTCATTCACCAAGTGAACGGAAAATTCCCTTGCTTAGTGAAAATTCACTCTACTAAGTGAACGGCCTCTACTGCTTTAGTAAATCAACTACAGTAGTTCTGACAGGATCAACAGGTATTTTTCTGTACTAATTCAGTGACGGCATCCAAGAACTGGTAAACTGCATTATATGACATTTTTGTTTTTTTGCGTTTTCATACTCTTTAACCTCTTGCCCTCCAGAGGATTTACCCCTCTTCCTGACCAGGCCATTTTTTGCGATACGGCACTGCGTTATTTTAACTGACAATTGCGTGGTTATTCAACACTGCACCCAAATTACATTTATATCCCTTTTTTCTCACAAATGGAGCTTTCTTTCAGTGGTATTTTATTGCCTGTGCCGGGTTTTTTTTCTCGCTATAAACAAAAAAAAAACTGGCAATTTTCAGAAAAAAATATATTTTTGATTTTTTTGCTATTAAACATGTCCAGTAAAAAAATTTTAAAACTCAAATTTCAGGCCAAAATGTATTCTGCTACATGTCTTTGCTAAAAAGAATCCCAATACGTGTAAATTAATTAAATTAATTGGTATTATATATGTATATTAAATATACATATTGGAATTTTGTTTTGTTTTTTTATACTAGTAATGACGGCGATCAGCGGCTTATAGCGGGACTGCGGGACTTCGTGTACAGTCTGACACTGGGGGGGGGGGACTGACTGTCACTGACATCACCAGTGACACTAATACAGTGATCAGTGCTAATAAAAAGCACTGACACTGTACTAATGGCACTAGGCAGGAAGAGGTTAACATCAGGGACAATCAAAGGGTTAACTGTGTGCTATGTGCTGTTTTACTGTGTCAGCACATTGCTTTGTATTGCTCTGCTATGCAGGAGCTGACAGGGGAGAGATCTGTATTGTTTACAAACAGGTCTCCCCCCCATCAGTGATACTTGGCGATCACCAGGTGCTGGTAGGGAATCACTGTCTGGGACTCGGTGATCGACAGCTGAGGCCACCAATAGCATGCCCCCTACCCATATATATATGTGATTTTGCACAGCCACCCTGTGATTTTGCACAGGGTGGTGGAAAAGTGGTTAAAGTGAAGAGTCACGCATGCATATCATTGTATGCAGTATTTCAGAAGGAAGCCTTTGAAAACAAGTAGAAATCTCTAGGAAGGTAATTAGTATACTTGTGCTGAACGTTCTCATGACCATGCTGATGATCACAATCTCTTAACTGCTCTGCTAAAGCTTGAGCCTTTCTCAACCCTAGGTTCCCTCCAAAGATTGCTAGGGGTCCCACACACTACAGGCTGCCAGCAGAAAACTACAGAAGGGGCGGAGACAAGACCAGTCACCCTGAACAAGGAGAGAGAGGAGCAGTGACCGGTCTTTATTACAGGAAGCTCCTTCACAGAGGGAAAGTTTTACACTTGATTCCTTAACAGATCTGGAAGAAAGACACAAAGTACATCAAGTGCAAATAAACAGTTCAGCTTGAAATACATATGGGATCCAGGGCAGAAGACATATGTAACAAGAAGTACAACCTCGAAACAGAAGCCTTTTATGAATCCTACGAAACCTAAAGATTAATATACAGTTCAGATAAAAATTGAGCATACATGTTTATAGTTTACAGTTCACTGACTGCTGTTATTGTTGTGTCAGGACATAGAGGTGAAATGTTCTCCCCATTATTCTTTTGAATTTTCCCTTAGCTGTGGAAAGAGAACATGGAGAGTATTTTCTATGAACCTGTTTAAATGATCTGTATTTTCTTACAATGGAAACATATCAGGGTTGGTTTATTAACTGAATAGATCCAGTCTCTTAAGCAAAGGGATTGTTTACTTAGTGAATAAGTTGAAGCTCTGTTTACTTCAATCATCCAATCATATGTAAGCAAAAATCCTGTTTTTTTTTTTTCCTTGCACATAATTGGTTATTGAGAGTGAACACAGCTTCTCCTTCTTTACGGAGTGAATTGCTTTGCTGATCGAACAGCCTTTGCTCCTTTAGTAAATCAATCCCGCTGTTATTGAACCTGCCCTGTTATTCCCTTTATGTTTCCTCAAAGACCCTTTGACATTGAGAGGGAGATTGTCTTAAGCCGGCCATAGACGGCCCGCTTCAGCAGAGACTGGCCAAGATTCAAATCATGCATGGGCAGGCTGAATGTACCCAAGTTGATCGATTGAACAACTCGGGTATAACCAACCTGTAGGATTTTACATGCAATTATTGCTAGCAGCTGTTATAGCACTAGCAGTAATCACTGTGTTCTCCCAGTGGGGACAGCTCCAACCCCCCCCACCCCTCTTCCTTGGGAGAACACAATGGCTCCATGGGAGGAATTCCCCCATCAACACTGACAGTGACAGTGTTGATGGGGGAATCAAGCACTTTTCTTTCCTGCAACCCATGGTTGCAAGAAAGAAAATTGCTTCAGCCATGGCTAGCTCAAAGCTGAGTATTCACGAGCAGAATTTAGTTTGTCATTTTTCATTGTTTGTTTTTCCAAACAGTAGTGGGGTCAATCGATGTTCCTATTCAACCACAGTGATGAAAAGATTCAGGATGGAAAATTTGTCTTTTCGGATTTTTTCCCGTATTCATTTTCCCAAGAACTTTTGTACAAATTTTCATTTGAAATTCTACTAGTTTTTACCCAGCTCATATTTATTTATGATCTGGATACAAAAAAGTCTCATTTGCACTAACAGTGCCCTCTGATGAGCAATGTATAGTGAATACTCTTCTGAGAGCATTCCACATGGATAGCCCGGGGTAATTGTGGCATTCAGGTGAATGGGTTGCCGTTCAGTAGGACACCCCCTTCCACTGCCTTTGCCTTAAGGTAGAGCAGTTGAGCGCTGTGGAGGGGCTCAACAGTGTGTTTTTTTATCACCCCCCAACCACAAGTATAAACAAGCCCTTATGCATAAATCTTTGTACTATTTGCACAATGTTTAACTTCTGCCAGGTAAAGAGCTTAGAATTTTTTACAGACTACTTGTCCACTATAACAAAAGTTAGGTTTATATTATAAGGGTTTTTTATTCCTTTATTTAAAGTACAGATACTGCGCTTGCAATAATGCATATGCTGAATAGCACTACGATTTAGGTATTACAAGGTCTTTTCAAGAAGAACACAAAAAGGCTAAAAAAATGATCAAGGATAACCCTACAATGTAAAAACAAAGAAAACATTAATAAATCACACATGTTATTATGTGCGGTTATTATGCATAATAATGGATAGGTGTACAAAGCAAGGTGTGCAGAGACAATTCCTGTGCATTGTTCTTCTCTCTTAAAGGGAAAACAACATCTGTGTGTAAGA